ATATATATATATATATAATATATATTATAATACATATATACATATATATATATATAATATATATATATATATATATATATATATACATATATATATAATATATATATATATATATATATATATATATATATATATGGAGGGAGAGAGGGAGGGGAGAGGAGGAGAGGGAGAAGAGGGAAGGAGAGAGAGGGGAGAGGGAGAGGGAGAGGGAGAGAGGAGAGGAGAGGGAGAGGGAGAGGGAGAGGGAGAGGGAGAGAGGGAGAGGAGAGAGAGGAGAAAAAGAAAGAGAAAGAGAAAGAGAAAGAGAAAGAAAGAAAGAGAAGAGAAAGAAAAGAAAGAGAGAGGAGAGAGAGAGAGAGAGAGAGAGAGAGAGAGAGAGAGAGAGAGAGAGAGAGAGAGAGAGAGAGAGAGAGAGAGAGAGAGAGAGAGAGAGAGAGAGAGAGCATACTCAAGTATATAATTATCAATTAATCGAGTTCGAGGCCCTTTGGTCCCACTCACCGAGGAAGTGCACGACAGTATCATCGTCGAGCGCGTAGTCAAGGGAGAGCTTGTAGAGGCACTTGAGGGTTTCGGTCAGCTCCTCGAGGTTGACATAGCCGTCGAGGCCGACGTGTCCCGGGCTGGGCCGGGCCTCGGGTTCGTCCAAGAGCTCGGGAGTGGGCGTGGGCGTGGGCGGCAGAGGCGAGGCGCTGGAGGGCCTCGACGGGCCGGAAGCTATCTGGGTTCTGGGCGTGTGAGTGGGCGGCACGGACGGGGGTGGTGGGTGCCCGTGCCAGTGCCGAGTGACCGAGGCGATGGTGTGGGCGGCCGCCACTTGCCACACCGCCCGGCGCCACCTCGCTCCTGAGTCTGTGGGAGAGAGAAGCCGTCCCTCACATATCAAAAGTCCCGTTTATATAAAACTCATTAATTAGAGGAAAAAAGGATAGGAGTTGGATATCGAAACCAATAAATCGCACTTGATGAATAAAAACCCACACAAAAAACAATAAACGAAACAATACATTAACAACAGAATACCTATCAAATCTTAAATCACAACCACGACTACCCCAACCACAACATAAACATAACACACAACCACAAAGACATACAATGGTGTCGATAATTGTGCATGTTGATGAGGGTGGCAGCTGCAGCGAGGGTGGCAGGGATCGTGGGCGCCGGCTGTGAGTACAGTGGGCGGGCGAGCAAGGTCAGGTCAGGGGGCGCTGCCTTGGTAACACTCACGGTCACCACCAGCCGGAAATCCTCGTGAACCTGGTATGAGGTCACCAAAAAGGTCATCGTATGTGAATTTTAAACGTGTACATCTACTTTCGTTGGAAATGTACACACAACTGGGAAAATTCACGTTTATTTGCGGAATTCTAATAGTATTTCCTTCATTAGCCGTTTCATCAGACGACTTAACAAAATTCACTGATCTATAAAGAATATTTGCAAAAGGGGAATATAATTAATCAATCTTTTGATTTCCATAAGTCATAAAAAATACTCTAATAAGAATATAAAAAATACTTGAATTACGATAGGAAAAATACTTGATTAAGAATAGAAAAAAATACTTGATTAAAAAACATCGTCATTCTTAGAAAAAGTACACTGTAACACCTTTACCATCTCTATCGTGTCACAGACTGTACACTGACCTTCACATCCGGAGAGCCTAGTGACGTCATAGCACCGAGGAGAGTTGAGAGCACGGAAGGCGACTCAGCCCCCTGAGGACGGGACACCATTATTATTATCATCATCAAAATCATCATTGTTGTCGCTATTATCACTATTATATTCACAATAATCGTTTTATTACCATTGGGATCTTATTAGTAGTAGTTTCATTATCATCACTAACATCATCATTATTATTGCTATCATTATCACTATAATCGTTATCTTTATCAATATCATCACCATCATCATTACTATTACTATCTTATCATCATTATCATCATCATTATCATTACTATTATGGTTCTTATTATCATTATCATGATTATCAATATCAATAGTCAAAATAATAATAATAATAACAACAACAGCAACAACAACAACAATAATCATTATCACCATCATTATTATCATTATCGTCATCCTAATCATCCTATCTCAACTCTACTACCACCATCGTAATCACATCATCCATCCACTGAGAAAACGAATGACAACAAAAAAACGAAAATGCTAATGAAACGAGGGTTGCGTCCCCCTAGAGTTTTCCGCACCTGAACGATGATCCAGCCGCCTTGTTGCACAGAATTCACCAGGAGCGAGGCAAGGTGAGGGACTCCGACGGAATCTAGCTCTCCTGCCTGGAAATATAGGAAAAATAAATCATCCTTCAATGAAAGAAATTGGAATCTGTTTAGAAATTGGAATCTGTTTAGTCTAGGATTTAATTACTTGTTCAAATATACTCTAACCGATTATCTGTGTATTTTTTTAGCCTTAGGGGGTACTGAGACATAAATCAAGATTGCGTAAAAGAAATCTTAAGAAAAGAGAAAAAAATGGAACATGAAATCTGCTAAAAGTTCCTTAACAAAATGCTGCGTAGTATGTGGTTTTAGCTAACATAAAAAAAAATATATATATATATAAGAATAAGGATGAAAATAAAAATGAGAATTTGAATGAGATTAAAAGAGAAAAAGGGTGAGAATTTAACTGGGAATGAGAATAAAAACGAGAATAAGAGAATAAGAATAAAAATAAAAACAAAATAGATTATGGGAAAATATCTATCAAAATTATAAATAAAAGAAATCAAAATTATTAACCAAGAGTTCCTAAAATTATTAACGCACCTTCTCCGCCGGTGTAGCCATAATAACCCTTGTGATTCCGGCCACAGAGCGGGCGTGGGCGGCTCCTATCACCTCGCCGGCCACGTCACGCCCATAGTCCGCCCAAACCAGGACAGGTAACTTGCGCTCCTCTGGGCCCAACCTGAGTTTTGGGAATTTGCAAAGAAACTCCCAGGTTATTATGTTTTCTCTGGATTATTTGTCTCTTATTATCCTGGATGCAATTATAAATGAATCTGATAAAGACAGTTTTACAAATAGGATTTTTTTTATGTTTATCTACAAGCTAATAATGCATTATGATACAGGATATACTTGAACACTTCTAAAGAATGGTATGTACAGTAAGAGTATTAAACAAAACATATATATAGCGCTTTCTACATACCTAAATACTTCGGTTAATTGGTAGTTAATCGAAGATGGAAATATAAGGTAAAACTCGTGTAAATCTACATTTAATACCTTGACAGTATTCTGACAACCCAAGTTCAACACATTAAATAAATGTTCCTTCAGATACCTTTCATGAACAGACAAGAATTACTCACAAAAATGAAAACTGATGAAATAAACTGTTATTTAATTCATTAACGATATATAACTGACATAACAGATAGAAATAGACAGTAAATGACCTATAGAGAGTCACACTTAGCGAGGTCAGGTCGCAGTAGGTGAGGGTCCCCGAGCATGATATTGACTACTTCGCGAGCTCCTGCCACGAGCTGCAAAGAACACATTTACTGTAGAATTGTTTATTTAAGAGATGTTGTGATATCTATTTCTTCAAAAAAAAAAAAATGTCGGTTGCAAATGATATTTTGTGTTAAGTGTTTACAGATTTCGATGTTCTGTTGATCTGTAAGAAAGCGATGGAGTTGGTGGACTAACATGTTTTCGTATTCCGGAAATCGTTCACAGTCTCCGGTATCTATAATACAGCCAGAATAAACCGTGAACACTCTTGTTTCGGTAATTAGAACATATATGCCCTAACCGCAAAGAAATAGTATTAAGTCTTAACACGAGGAACATCCCTTTAACCAATTCTTTCTACCACGTCATAATACAACACACAAGCCAGTCCAATACACCAGGAACTCAATGGATACGACACATGCAAAAAAATGTTCATCTTTTTTCTATAACTTGCGAGAAATGTTATTGAACACAATGCCAAGGAGATTCACAAGAACTCACCTGACGTGGCTTGGCTATCCTTAAGAGCATCAGGGCATTGAAGTCTGATATTCTACCACGGGGCATCTCGGCAGGACCTCGACTCCCCGTCAATCCCACCTCCTGCAGAAATAGTGTCAGCTGATTCGTGGAACAACATAGGAAGAGAAAAGAAGAAAAAGAAACAGGAAAATGTGGAAGATAAAAAAGCGAGCTGATAACCTTTCATCAGTGCGGTATCTGTGTCATAATTTTCAGGACAGATCTTAACATCTAAATTACTGTCGCCTTTGAGATGAAAAGATGTAAGTTGAATTTATTGACAGTGTGAGTAACCCTGCTGCATTTGGCACGAAAAGAGAAATATTTGACAAATATGAATAGGCATTATTTACGAGTTACGAACCAGATGGATATGAAAATGCATTGATTGTTACATTATTTTTTCCTGTGAAAAAATATTACTCACAACTCTGAAGATCTATCATCAAGCATTCATGATAATTAAAAAGGTGCACCGGCGTCTTCTGCTTCAGATTCACGACTCTTTGAATCTCTGAGATGCCAGAGCACCAAGAGAGGCGAACGGACTTTCGCATTTGACTGTCCATACAAACAATTCTTTAAGGGTATACAAACTTCAAGAACAATATAAAAATATCCCAAAAGGAACCACAATTACAATTTAACCTCTAAATAAATCTGCTCAGAAAAAAACATATAGAACAACAACGAAAAGAGAAACACATAAAAAAACAACAATATACAATGTCGATGCAGGGTGTGACCCCCAAACCGCTACACAATACTACCGTGACCAGGTCGTGTAGGGACAGCTGGAGACGCACGCCCTTCAGCAGGTCTTCGCCTACGCCGCCGAAATCCACCTCCAAGTCCATGACAGCCTCCACAAGGGCGCGCTAAGGGAGGCAACATTACCAGCAGAGAAGCAAAGATCAGCAGGGGTTTACATCCGGGTCTCATTGGCTGAGGGTGAAGGTGGTC